TTTTTATAACACGATTAGAAGGGATTATCTTTTTTCTTTTTCTTTTTTTTGGAGACAGAGTCTCACTATGTCACCCCCAGTAGAGTGCTATGGCATCACAGCTCACAGCAACCTCAAACTCTTGGGCTTACACGAGTCTCTTGCCTCAGCCTCCCAAGTAGCTGGGACTACAGGTGCCCACCACAAGGCCCAGCTATTTTTTGTTGCAGTTGTCATTGTTGTTTAACTGGCTAGAACTGGGTTTGAACCCACCAACGTTGGTGTATGTGGCTGACAGTGTAACCACCGTGTTACGTGTGCTGGGCCTATCTTTATTCTATTGTTTAATCTGGGCACTATTTTAAAAAATTTTTCTTGAAGACAGAATTTTGCTCTGTCACCCAGGCTAGAGTGCCATGGCATCAGCCTTGGTCATAACAACCTCAAACTCCTGGGTTCAAGTGATCCTCCTGCTTGGGTCTCCAAGAGTGCTAGGATTACAGGTGTGAGCTACTGCACCTGCCAGCACTCTTTTTCAGAATCATTTGACTATAGATTTACTTTTAGGCTCTATATTCTGTTCCATTAATCTCTACATCTGCCTTTATGCCAGTTACCGTATTGTTTTGATTACCATAGCCTTGTAATATATTTTGAAGTCAAGAAGTGCAGGTCCTCCAGCTTAGTTCTTTCTAAAGTTGATTATTTGTGGTACTTTATGGTTCCATATGAATTGTAAGATTTTCTTTTTATTTTGGAAAAAAATGCCATTGAGGTTTTGATAGGAATTGTGTTGAGTCTTTAGATTGCTTTGGGTGGTGTGGACATTTTAGTGATATTAAGTCTTCCAATCCATGAATCCAGTATGTCTTTACACTTGTATCTTTTAAATTTTTTTTTCAGCGATGTTTTACAGTTCTTAATGTACAACTCTTCACCTTCTTGGTTACGTTTATTCCCAAGTATTTTATTGTTTTTGGTGTTATTGTAAATGGTATTGTTTTCTTAATTTCCTTTTTTGGTCAATTTGTTGTTAGTATATAGAAATTATATGTTGATTTATAACTTACAACTTTGCTGGATTTACTTATTAGTCTTTTTTTTTTT